AAATTGCCAAGTAGGAACTTTGTGTACCATTTAAATTGCCAGTAGTTATCGGGACCACGTGCATCTGAAAATACATGTCCTATTGGTTGTCGGAAAAATTTAATTCCCCTAGGAAAAGTAAGAAATCGTTTAGTAGGGACTTGTTGCCCGATTTAACTGCCCAGTGGTCATCGAAACTACGTGAATCTGACAATACATATCCCAAAGGCTGTCGAAGAAATTTCAATTTCCCGAGGAAAAATAAAAAATTGTCTAGTAGGAAATTGGTGCATGATTTAAAGTCTCACATATAAAAATACATGTTCCATAAGTTGTCGGAAAAATTTCATTCCCGGGAGAAAAGTTGAAAATGGTTTAGTAGGGACTTGTTGCCCGATTTCAATTCTCAGTGGTCATCGCGACCACGTGCATTTGAAAAAACATGTCTCAAAGGTTGTCGAAAAAATTTTATTCCCCGAGGAAGAGTTGAGAATTGTCTAGTAGGGACTTGTTGCACTATTTAAATTACCAGTTGCCATCAGGACTAGGTGCATCTGAAAATCCATGTCCCATTGGTTGTCGGAAAAATTTAGTTCCCCGAGGAGAAGTTGAAAATTAACGAATAGGGACTTGTTGCATGATTTAAATTCCCAGTGGTCATCGGGACCATATGCTCTTGAAAATACATGTCCTATTGGTTGTCGGAAAAATTGGATTTTCCGAGGAAAAGTTTAAAATTGTCTGGTAGGAACTTGGTGCACGATTTAAATTCCCAATAGTCATCCAGACTACGTGCATCTGAAAATACACATCCCAAAGGTTGTCGAAGAAATTTCATTCCCCGAGGAAGAGTTTGAAATCGTCTAGTACCAAGTTGGTGCACGATTTAAATTCCCAGTTGTCATCGGGACCACGTGCATCTGAAAATACATGTCCCATACATTGTCGAAACAATTCAATTCCCCGAGGAAAAGTAAAAAATTGTGTAGTAGGAACTTGGTGCATGATTTAAATTCCCACTGGTCATCGGGACGACGTCCATCTGAAAATACATGTCCCATTGATTGTCGGAAAAATTTAATTCCCCCGGGAAAAGTGGAAAATTGTTTGAAAATACATGTCCCATACGTTGTCGAAAAAATTCAATTCCCCGAGGAAAAGTCAAAAATTGTCTAGTAAGAACTTGGTGCATGATTTAAATTCCCACTGGTTAACGGGACGACGTGCATCTGAAAATACATGTTCCATAGGTTGTCGAAAAAATGTAATTGCCCGAGGAAAAGTTAAAAATTGTTTAGTAGGGACTTGTTGCACGATTTAAATTCCCAGTGGTCATCGAGACTACGTGCATCTGAAAATACATGTCTCATTGGTTGTCGCAAAAATTTAATGTCCCGAGGAAAAGTTAAAAATTGTCTGGTGGGAACTTGGTGCACGATTTAAATTCCCAGTGGTCATCGCGACTACGTGCATCTGAAAATACATGTCCCATACGTTGTCGAAAAAATTCAATTCCCTGAGGAAAAGTAAAAAATTATCTAGTAGGAACTTGGAGCATGATTCAATTTCCCACTGGTCATCGGGACCGCGTGCATCTGAAAATACATGTCCCATTGTTTGTCGAAAAAATACAATTCCCCAAAGAAAAGTCAAAAATTGTCTAGTAGGAACTTGGTGCATGATGTAAGCCCCCACTGGTCATCGGGACCACGTGCATCTGAAAATACATGTCTTATTGGTTGACGGAAAAATTTAATTTCCCATAGAAAAGTTAAAAATTGTCTGGTAGGAACTTCGTGCACGATTTAAATTTCCAGTGGTCATCGGGAGTACGTGCATCTGAAAAAACATGTCCCATACTTTGTCGAAAAAATTCAATTCCCTGAGGAAAAATCAAAAATTGACTAGTAGGAACTTAGTGCATGATTTAAATTCCCACTGGTCATTGCGACCATGTGCATCTGAAAATACATGTCCCATTGGTTGTCGGAAAAATTTAATTCCCCGAGGAAAAGTTAAAAATTGTCTAGTAGGAAGTTGGTGCACGATTTGAATTCCCTGTGGTCATCGGGACCACGTTCATCTGAAAATACATGCCCGAAAGATTGTCCGAAAAATTTAATTCCCCGAAGAAACGTTAAAAATTGTATTGTAGGGACTTGGTGCACGATTTAAATTTCCAGTTGTCATCGGCATCACGTGCATCTGAAAATACATGTCCCATAGGTTGTCGGAAAAATTCAATTCCCCGAAGAAAAGTCAAAAATTGTCTATTAAGAACTTGGTGCATGATTTGAATTCCCACTGGTCATCGGGACCACGTGCATCTAAAAATACATTTCCCATAGGTTGTCGGAAAAATTTCATTCCCCGAAGAAACGTTCAAAATTGTATTGTAGGGACTTGGTGCACGATTTAAATTTCCAGTTGTCATCGGCACCACGTGCATCTGAAAATACATGTCCCATAGGTTGTCGGAAAAATTCAATTCCCCGAAGAAAAGTCAAAAATTGTCTATTAAGAACTTGGTGCATGATTTGAATTCCCACTGGTCATCGGGACCACGTGCATCTAAAAATACATTTCCCATAGGTTGTCGGAAAAATTTCATTCCCCGAAGAAACGTTCAAAATTGTATTGTAGGGACTTGGTGCACGATTTAAATTTCCAGTTGTCATCGGCACCACGTGCATCTGAAAATACATGTCCCATAGGTTGTCGGAAAAATTCAATTCCCCGAAGAAAAGTCAAAAATTGTTTATTAGGAACTTGGTACATGATTTAAATTTCCAATGATCATCGGGACCGCGTGCATTTGAAGTTGCACGCCTCAATGGTATTTGGTGTACTTCTATTCTCCGAAGAATCATTCAAAATGGACTACGAGAGACCTTGTGCATACTTCAGATGTCCACTGGTCGTCGGGACGACACGCATCCGAAAATAAATGTCTCAAAGTTTCTCGAGACGTTTTTAGTCCGCGATGAATAATTAGAAATCGCCCAGCAGGCACTTGGTGTGTAATTTAAATATCCAGCCCTCACTAGAAGGACGTGAGCATCCTCTTTAATGCCCAATATCAATAGTTAATATTCTAAATTATTTCCTTCATGTATAAATCATCCTTCCATTTTCGTCTATTTCATTCTAAACTGAAAACCCCTTCTTTACTCTAAAATTAACTTGTGGTTGTTCGCCGCCAGATGGTCACAGCTTCACATTCACATATGATAATTTTTCCCACGCTTATTTGTACATCATATGCGCATATTGGTTATAGAAAGTAATAAGTTATTCCATCTTCCCATCTTGCATTTTTTATAATCCATGACCAAGGTTTCATTAGAAAAAAAACCTAGCATTTCATCAACTCACTTCACGTTATCTGTGACGTTGTCGGATGTTTTTCCGCCATTTTGAGTCAACTTGGGGCATCATATTCCTCAACGTTTATTGGTCAACTTTTAATTTTCAATATAAAAAAATTCGTTTCACAAATTTTTTTTTCAGATTTTTCCCGGATTCTATGATTTTTTTCCTATCAGGGATTAAGAGGAAAAGAAGTCATTACTTAACACCCTGTATATATTGGTTTGGCAATTTTTAGAACTTTTCGATAAAAAATAGGAAAACAATATGTACATTTAATATATGAAATAAATTATATAGTATCAACAAAAGACTGATTTTTGCAAACGAAAAATCATCACAGTCACAAGAATATTGCTATATGTAATTGTTGAAGTTTTTAAATAAGTTCTTCATTAAAATAAAGTATTGAATTGAGAGGAAAAAGAAATAGTTTTTTTTCATTTTATCGTTCCCAGTTCTCGGAAGTCAGCCTCGACGTGAGCGCGTAGTGGAGTCAGGGAAATAGTGTCGCATTCCCCGAATTCGCTTCCCCTATTCCCCCATAAGTTGGACACTAACCAGAGGCTACTGTAATCTTCTGAAATTTTGCAGAGAATTCTGTTTTTACGGTGATGAATATGTGAAAAAATTACCGCATTGAAATTTACTGGAGGCAGATTCATCGTGCTTATTTGGCTGGAGCTATTTACCTATTAATAATGAGGTTTCCAATAAGGTTACCTATTAATAATGAGGTTTCTAATGAGGTTTTGTGAGGTTTTCCATTAAGATAATTCCTATTTTCCCGGTAAGAATTCCTCTAATGTACATGAAGCTTTCCATAGAAAAAGATCTATGCAGAAAATTTTTACAAAATTATGATCCTACATGAATAAATAGCTACTTTCATCACACGATCCGTAAAACGTCGTTAGTATGATGAAAATTATATAAATTATTCTTGATGTCATTGGCTTCCGGATGGATGCCGCGTTTGGTTTCAGCGTTGCGCCAACGTTTCGCAAACATTGCAGTCTGCATCTTCTGGGCTATGAGCTCCGATTCTGAGCTCCGATGTCTGGCAATAGTCCTTATATGCCCTCCCCTGCGACAGCGGGAGGTTTGAGCAGGGGGGGGGGATTAGCCAATCTTTTTTAATTGATCAGCTGGTCAATCTTTAATTGGCCCATCTTCTTAATTAAAAAAGATTGCCAATCTGATCAAATCTGAACTGAACTTTTTTAAAAAAGATTGCCAATCTGATCAAATCTGATCTGATCTTTTTTAATTGAGAAGATTGGTTAATTAAAGATTGATCAGCTGATCAATTAACAAAGATTGGCTTATCCCCCCCCCCCTCCTCACACCCCCCACCATCGCAAAGGAGGACATATAAGGACTATCCCCAGACATCGGAGCTCATAGCCCTGAAGATGTAGACTGCAATTTTTGCGAAACGTCGGCGCAACGCTGAAACCAAACGCGGCATCCATCCGGAAGCCAATGATATCAATAATCATGGCCGCGAAAGCCTCAAAACTAAGATAAATTATTCTTGATTCAATTTTCTTTGTAAGAAATGTCCGAATTCTTCATACGGCCATGAACATTAGGTAGTTAAACTATACTTTAGGTTGTTCCGTAATATAGATTATGACTCCTTGTTACAGAGAGTAGTACAGTTGGTGAAATGGGTGTAACAATGTATCAAGATTGTTGTTACGACTTGAAAGAAATTCGGCGTTGTGCTGACTGCTACAGAATATCAAATGAGAAGTCTGAAAAAATGTGGTTCTGCATTCCATGTAACCCTCCACACCAACTGGTATATGCAAAACAGAAGGGTTACCCCTATTGGCCTGCCAAAGTAATGGAGATAAAACACGATCTGTACGATGTTAGGTTCTTTGGTGGACATCACATGCGGGCAAACATTGAGAAAGTCTTCATAAAACCAATCACTGCGAGTATACACAGTCTCCAGGTAAGAGATGAGGCAAACGCGAGTATTCGATGTCAACACAGAATGCACGTGAAAGAAGGAAAACGAAAAGTCAATTTTTTAGTTCCAGCAGAAATTTGTAATTATGTGAATCGGATGGAGAAATTAATTTATTCATCCATTTTGTCGAATATTCTTGTGATCTTAGGCGGTTGAAGATTACAGATAAATTTATTAACAGAAAGAAAAGAAAGTAAGGCCATATATCAATAACATTTGGGAAGATGAAAAAATATAGTGATTTTTTAAAATTCCATTTATCATCAAACTGTACAAGCGAATCTTGATAATACAATAAGAGGATTTTTCAACCTCAGAACTTTCATAATTCTGTTTAAACTACATCGAGTGGATAAATAAACCAATTTCTCATTTTATTCCATAAACTAGGTATAAAAACATTTCTGCAAACATGGAAATTTTTACAAACTACTGTATATTTAATTTAAAAAGAAAACAATCTCTTGTATAGCCATCAGAAAAGGGAAAATGGAAAGAGATGAAGGTATGCAGCACAATCTCCCGTGGACTATTTCCTTCTGTGTCGAGTGATCACATGCAACTGTAAATGAAAGTTTCTAATTGCCTAACTTGTTTACCCATGACATTTTTTCATTTCATAGATAAAACGTTCAGGGGCCTGGAACAAGGCATTCGAAGAATTGAAGCACCACCAGACTCTCCTGCATAAGCTGGGAAAAAATCGTTACATTACCTGTGAACTAGAGGCTAAAGAGGACGGCCCAAAGCCACCAAAGATCAGGAACACCGGAACAAAGGTAGCGTCTAATGGCGCTTCATTAAAACAGATTATGAAAGACTTGAGAGTGAAAGTTGAAAGGTTGAATTCCGATGGAAATTTCGACTCACAGACGAGTCAAGAGACGAAGAAGGCGATGAAGGAGAGCAGCAGTAGGTCAGCCAGTGAGGACAGGCAAGTGCCACTCCTACCAGTTGCTGAGGATGAGCCACCAAGGGAGATATCCAGTACGTGTCCACTTGGGTTGAAGAAAGAAGGATCCCAGGAGGACATGGTTACTTCCAGTTCCCAGGAGCCAAGGACAAAGTGTGTTCTTGTACAGACAGATTCAAGCCAGACCGAAGTTGTACCCGCTAAGGTAATATATATTCCATTTTTCAAGAATTTTTGTACTCATTCAATTATAGTTATGTTTAAGCGGAGACCGCGGTGAAATTTAAAAGTCTTCGCTCGGTCTTAAGAGACATTGCACGACTTTTGGTATATGAAGAGATATATTAAAAAGTAAGAAAAATTTCGGGCTCGACCCGTTTTACTCCGTATACCCACCAAAAACATAATTTTTCACGTTTTTCGCTTAAAAATGCTCCTTGCACCATAGTTTTCATCCGATTTCAACATTCTTTTCTAATGTTCGTTATACTCCAACGACTAAACCCGAGTATCCGTTTTACTTTATATGTATTACATCATGAGAAAATGATGCGTTTAGTTTTTGATTTTTTTCCTCTTAGCAAATCCTCAAATTATGTAACCGCCCATATTTCTTTTGTTATAAAACTAATAGTACATTAGAGTACAAGGGCACAAATTTCGTTTTCAACGAATGTGTAGTTTACAGGCCGAGCCGAAGGCGAGGTCTGTACACACATTCGTTGAAAACGAAATTTATTACCGAGTGCTCTATAATATTTTATGTCAAGTCGTGCAGAAGTCGAGTTTTGAGCAGGCTGCGCGAAGCGCCCTTGTACTCTAATGTACTATTAGAATTTGCCGAGAAGAGAAAAAAAAACAAAAAAATCATCATTATTCTTATTATCTCGTTCTTCTATACAACCAATTATCTTTTTGCTTCCGAATGGAAGCATTGCAATCGTTCCATTTTTAGGTTCTATAATTTTACCTGGAAATGATGTAGAATGTTCTGAAACGTAAAAAAACGAAGTTTGACCACCTGGCATTCATGTAATGGTGTCCACCTACTGGTCAACTTTTAGAAAATTGAAGAATTAAAGGACCAAAATGATTCCAAAAAATCTAAAATTTTGTCAGATTATAGGTATTAATGACAACCAACTCTATGCTCAATTTCAGTCCAATCGATCCGGCCGTTTTTGAGAAATCTCCACTTGTTTCTAAATTCTTTTTCGCAAATACCTCAAAAACTACTGAACACATTATGGGAATTCGGTAAAGGATAGATGGGTTTTGTAATGGATAACGCTCGGAATTGATATATCGAATTAGATTTATTCACAGCAAATTTAACTTGGTTTACACCATGAGAGCCGAAACGACACGTATGAAAAAATCGTATAGAAGTTTTCTGTATGGATTGCCTATACAAATTCTATAGGATTTCCGTATATGATATTCGGATATTTCTATACGAATATTTTCTACACGAATTATTTCTATACATAAATTTTTACATAAATTTTTGTTTTCGTATAAAAGATGTCTAAATGTTCCAGAGAAAAGCGTAGAGAAATGTCGCAACTCCATACGAAATGTTTCTATACATGTGGCAGTGGCTCGTTTAGGATCAAACCTATAGAAATCGTATGGAAATAATATGTATAAAAAATATCCATATAGAAATATTCGAATATCATATACGAAAATCCTACAGAAATTCTATACGCAATCAGTATAGAAAATTTCTATACGATTTTTTCATACGTGGAGAGTGTGCTCTTGCGACAACAGGATTAATCATCCGATCGAGGATGTCCGAATTATTACGAATCGTCGCGAGGTGTTGTGGTAAGGTATTCGGTTGCTCAGCCAAGCCCCAACCCAATACATTGAAATAATCTGAAATCCTATTTACTAAAGATGAAAGAAACGTGAAGTTGTTTTATATCGAAATATCTCGAAACTGCCTGACCGCTAATCCTTAATTCTGATTGGTCAATATGTGACACGAAGTTATTCACAAAAAAAAACACGCGGCATTTTCAAATTCTTCAGTGTTGTTACGTCAAGAATGGGTTACTTGACACAACTTTATTAAATTAAAATTCAATATACTGAACCAAAGAAACAAGATTAAATTCAAAGATCGTCTCGAAATTAAGGAATAGAATTCAAGCACAAAACCCATTTACAAAGGTCCCCTTTTACTTCAATTTTCTAAACCCCAAAAGTATTTGGAATCAAAGGTTGGAAAGGTTCACTTGGAGTAAAATGAAAAGAATTTTGAATAACTTTAAAGTGACTCAATAGAGTCTATATTTTAACAAAACAAGTAGAAAAGTATAACTACAACATTCGACTTACATTCACTGCTCTGCTTTCAGTCGTAAAGTATTTTGTATGTGGTTAAAAGTAATGCCGCACTGAATTTAAGA